GAAACAGCAAGTTTGCATGATCTCCGCACGGATCCAACAAATCTCCATGCCCAATTTGGTGAAGATCCATCAACAGGAAGGGGGGGGAGTAGTGGTAAAAAAAGTCCATAAAAACCGCAAAACTAAACATTTGTATGTATCCCCGTATGGACCTAATGAACCTCCATACCAGTTTTCGTGAAGATCCATCCACGCCCTTCGAAGTAGTTACATGGACATACATAACAGACAGTACTATTATATTTATATAGATTCCATTACACTATATCTTAAATATGATTAAATGTTATTATAGGATTACAAAAAAAAAAGGTGCTAGAAGTAATAAATTTCTATAAAAGAGGCAGAGAAAGAACCTCAAACATTAACAGGAAATAAAATATACCATTTCTATATTCCTTGACTTACCTAGCAGCTGACTTCTCCATCTGTTGATGCTGACTCCGGATGGCCATTCTATTGACATGGACTGGGATGGGAACGACGATTTTGTGTGTATGGGAGCTAGGTGCTGACCGTCCCGACGTCATTCCGGCTTTTACCCTCTTCCATTTGGCGCGTCTGTTCTGAAACCATATCTTTACCTGGACTTCGCTAAGCTGTAGAGAATGGGCAATTTGGGAGCGCTCAGTAAGAGATAAATATTTCTTGGAGTGAAACTCTTTCTCCAACTCCAGCAGCTGTTCGCTAGTGAAAGCTGTCCGTCTCCGCCGATTCTTCGCAACTCCCTCCCGGGAGCTCCGCTTTCCATTGCAGCCCTCGGTGTCCCTAGTTTTATGGCTTCTAGTATGATGTGAGGTGGTCAGTTCCAATGGAGAAGCTTGACTAGAGTCAGAACCGGAAGGAGACACAGGAAACTCTGAAACCAAATAAACATGCATTATCGAATTAATAGTTTCAATTGTGATCCATAATACTCAAAACTGAATGAAGTAAACATTTCAACTAAATAAATAAGTAACTAATATATATTTTCCTTTTATATAGAAAAAATATACCAGACATACTTTCGAAAAGACACCAACAACGAGGTACTGGAAATAGAAATTAACTTACATGTTTAACATGCAACCTGTTGATAATCTAGTACAGTTGTTATGAGAAAGAAATAAAATGCAACAACAAACATATATAATTAGTAATCATTGAAGCCTAAATTCTACATACTTACTTCTCAGGCAACACAACACATGATAATTATTTTTATACACATAAATTTTAAACGTTTTATGAAAACAATATGACAAAACTTTCTGTTTACAGTTTATATTTAGCATACAATATTTCTTCAGTCTCTGACAAAAATGTCTTCGGAAATCTAGATTTTCGCCCATACTATGGATGTTCGTTAGTTTAACATTAATAACTTGCTTATAACCTTGCGTTACACGACTGTAGGTTACTTTTGACTTGCAGTACACGACTGTGAGTTACTTTTGGCTTGCAGTACACGACTGTGAGTTACTTTTGGCTTGCAGTACACGACTGTGAGTTACTTTTGGCTTGCTTGCAGTACACGACTACGAGTTCCTTTTGACCTGCAGTACAATACTCATTGTAAGTTACTTATGATCTGTAGTACATGACTATTACTTTTGACCTGCGGGTACATGACTGTGAGTAACTTATGACCTGTGGTACACGACTGTAAGTTACTTATGGCCTGAAGTACATAACTATGAGTTAATTATGACCCGCAGTACATAACTGTAATTTACTTATTACCTGCGATACATGACTGTAAGTTACTTTGAACCTACGGTACACGACTGACGTCCAAAAAAAAATCAGTGTGACTTTACGTGATTAATAATCAGAAATTTGGTAAAGAAGTAATATGTTCAACATTATTTATATATTTATTTTTTTGTTGATCTACCCGTTATATTACAGTGTGTTATATTTAAAGTTGCAACTTTCGTTGTATCAGATCTTTTATATTTCATCCATAAAACAGTTCTACTGAGTAACCCTGCTCTGAAATTGCAACGTTCTTATATTCTACCTGTACACTAAATCTAAAAAAGTAATTTATTTCCTAACTACATATTAATTTCTTACTAAATTATATGAACCTACAACTGTCTGTTTTTCCTCTCCGAAGTTGCATGATTTTTATACATGTACATTTCTAAATGGTCTATTAAGGAATTAAAGTACACTGGGAAATAATATTCGGTGTCATTAAACACCTATAATTACTTCAATTTTTTTCTTCTTAACTCCAGTTAAAAAACAAACAAAAACGAAAGCTTATACTCTATATAATGGTGCAATGAAACTAATCATGCCGCTGCAAGATCTTTTTTTCTGGTCAAACTGGTTTAGTACTGCTTACATGATAGGTGGAAATAATAAAGGAATTTAGAAGAGTTAAGATGATTCGATGAAGAAATTGTATTAGTATCCAACACAGACAGCAACGTGTCTTAACTTGTGATTAGCTTTCTGTCTGTTAGATTTCGCTTAGGGCTAGCTGATCATTGACTATTTAGAGAGTAGAGGAAAGCGACATAAACAAAGTGAATACTAAAAGTCGATTATATCGGTCACCCGTTTATCAAGTGAACACTTTTCAGATCACCTCCTGAGTCCAATAAACACTATAGGCTTAATTCCTGTGAAAAACAAAGGTAAGGAAGCAGACTACACGATGAGTTGCTGATAGATGCAGATGTTGCTTTAAATGTCCTTCAGGTCCTTCACAGCTCAGGTGTGGTATCCGGAGGTAATACACTTTATTAATAATCGATGTATTATTGCGTGAGTTGCTGCAGGTTAACAGCTGCACTATCGTTTAAGAAACATCGTGTTTGTTGTTCAAGAGAAGATAATTGGTTCGATATATGATTTCGGGACCAATTAAATGGGAAAAATTATACAGTACTTTGTAGAAGTGTGCCTTTTTTCATCCAATCATACATATTTGGTGTAATTATAAAAAATGAAAATGTGATATTTACTGAGGAATTTGCGTAAAGGCTGTTTCGAAAGCAAATCGAAATGACGATAATGAATTTCAGTTCACTTGATTAGAATTGTTATAGCTTTCCAGTGGCTCAGTGATAAGTCTGCGAGCTCACGTCGCAAAAAAAAACAAAAAACAACGACAGGTTTTGATACTCGTAGTGAGCTAAGAATAAATTAGCCCATTGTGTAGCTTTGCGCTTTACAATAAACAAACAAAAATTGATATTGTGTGTTTTAAATACAGCTTTACGTAATGAATTCAGATTACATATACAAATACTACCAACAACTGACAGTCTTGGGGAAAATAAACATTCATAATTACATTGACCAAAGTACTTATATTAATAACATAACGTAAAGTAAAACAGTACGTTTTCAAAAGTCCAGTAGTGAGAAATCGTATAATAAAAAATTACAGGACATTAAAAGTATGTCACATAAGTATGTTCCCCCATGAGTCATCAGTAAGTTTACAGAGTTACAATACTAAAATCCTCAGTTCGATTCTCCGCAGTGGACAGATTGCAAATAGCCTATTGTGTAGCTTGTTTGTTTTCTTTGTTTATTTGAATTTATGCTCAAATCTACCCAATGGGCTATTTGTGCTCTGCCCAACACAAGTATCGAAACCCGGTTTCTAGCGTTGTAAGTCCGCAGACATACCGCTGTGCCACTGGGGGGCTATTGTGTAGTTCTTCGCTAAAGAAAACAACAAGAATAACGAACACAAACATATTTTTCATTTATAGCCGCGGCACAGCGGCTTATAGAATGACTCTGATTTTTCTCAAGTACAAACTTTTAGTTCACTGCTCCATCTCTTGACCAATTTTAGTTCTAATTACAGCCGCGGCTATTGAAGATTCCCTCATGTTTATTTTTGTTAACTCATACGGTATTTAAAAATGTGCTTAATTTTCACATATGAATAACAGTCATTCAGTATTAATAGTGAAATTAATATCTGTTGCATTATTTGTTAAAACAATTATTGTAACCCAAGTTTTCTTGATATTCAATTAAACATTATTCAAGGACAGATCAAACATGTTAACGTATTATAAGGAATTAATATATATTATATTATTTGTTAAGTTAAAGTAATTATTGTAACTCGAGTTTTATATAAAGTAAAGACAACAAAGTATCTTTTGGCCCATCTAGGCCGTTACATCAACTAAAATAACTTATAAAATGAAAAAAAACACTCAAAGCCAGCCCTATCATTCAAATATTTATCAAGCCTTCTCTTAAACTCTCTTTAATTAATTGCACCCACCACATCTGAAGGCAACCCATTCCAAAAATCAACCACTCCTTTAAAAGTAAAGCTGTCTTAGCTGAATATGACTCCATCCTGCCAAAAATTTATATCCCCTAGTCCTCCCATTCTCACCATTAAGTACGAAAAATGATGACACTATAAGTTCCCTTCAAAATCTTAAACACCTCAATTAAAATTATTCAGAAAGCTATTTTGTATCTAAATATACCACAAGATAAATTATAAACACGTTTCATTTTATCAGTATTGAAATACCATTTAGCTATAAAGTTAAATAAGCCAAATGAGAATTGTGCATATCATTCTTACGACTTGTTCATCAAAATTTAGTTCTTTCATACTGATTTTAACGACATTCTAAAATTATATAACAAATATGTTTAAAAGAAATACTAGGGATTAAATAGCATAAACTTTCTATTTTTTTAGTTATGATCAACACACACGGTGGTGTGTCATGCGGCCAAAAAAACCTGCTGCAGAACACACTGTGTGTTATTAACAGAAGTGATAGTTTAGCGATTTTCCACCTTCTGTATCTCGGACTGTGTTAATCTAAAATATCACATATTTTCGGTGGATATGCGCTACTGGACTCTTATTTCACACACGAAATTTCAAGGCAAGCCATTAAGAAATACCGGAGATATAACATCTCCAATTTTGGTTGAGTTTCTTCCTCTTTTTTGTTTTCTTCTTCGCAACAAAATTACATAAACTTTATTTGACAGAAAAATATACTTAACTTTTATGGATTTTTTTTCAGATTTGGTACACTAATAGATCTTTACAACTTAAAATTAGGAGTCTCATTTGGTGCAAATATAAGCCACATGTGCAAAGTTATTCAACAAAAACCGCTCCAATTTGATGAAAATTTTTGCGCACGCCTACGCAAAAGGTCACGTGAGCTATAAGTATAACATTTTTACTAAGAGTAAAAGTGGACGTTTTTAGTTTTTTGTCATTCGGATTAAAGCCGGCTGATTTAGAGCAGCAAAACTATAAGGTGAACGGACGTGCAGATACAGGCCAAGCAAACTAGTTTAGCAGTTTCTAGCTCAACTTTACAAAAGAATCATACGGGTGGACGGTTATTATTGATGATTCATCGCCAACTTTTCAGCACAAATTTACTAAAGTTTATAAAATTATTCTAATTAAAGAGAGTTTAGCTTCAAGTGATATTAGCTTAAGCAATTAGCATAAATAATTATACTTGATACGTCTGTACCGATTGTATGGGGTGATGACAAGAAACTGTTAATCTAAATTCCATGGTGTTAGTATAAAGGAA